TGTACGGCAGCATTCCGCCGTTACAGAATTCCATGTCGCAAACGAGATATCTCCTCGGCATGTCTCGCCGTTCTGCGGCGTTACAAGACAAAAGTATTCCATACTGCTCCCAGTTTGACGTTTCTTCAGAGCTGCGACCGCCGCCGATGGAATCTCGGTTACAAGCCATTGGATTGTAGTAAGCTTGCGCTGTTTTCATGTCTAGACGAGCAAGCTGGACATTGTTTGAGGTTGTAGTAAGAGGTTGGTTTGTTGAGAACCATACTTGCATTTGTTGTGGACTGAAAACACCACTCTGCCGCTCGTGGTATTCCTTGCCCAGAAACAATCTTTACCCAGCCCCTCAAGACCGAAACCCGACCGCGTATGCATGGTGAGAAGGGCTCAAATGTTGTCGCCAACAAAAACAACCTGTGCTACCCGTAGACGGACGCAGTTCATGGGGCTTGAACGCCGTCAAAGTAACACACCATGTATGCTCGCGGTTGAAGCACGATCTACCGAAAAGACTTTGGACGATTTTTTCCTGAAAAGTGACGGGGAACCCCAGTGCGATATTCCGATTCGCTGTTTTATTGCCAGTATGCCCGCGCAGGGTTTCGGGGAAAGGGGGAAGAATGAGACGCAACACCCGGCTGCGGTCAGAGTTGGGATGGAAGTGAGATGGGCTGGCATCGCGGCTGCTACCCCGGAGTTACTGGGATGCTCCCGGCCGGGCCACTCTTGGACGGGAGGCTAGCATGCAGACAGACCGCGTTGCTTTGGATCTGCGCCCTCTCCCTCTCTGTGGGATAATGCTTGGATTGTCATTAGATGGTTCTGAGACTTGACCACTGCAAAGTCCGAAAATTGGCGTCTTGAAGTACGGAGTACACGCCGCTCGTTTAGCTCGGGGCGCCGTGTGGGGCCGCTCCATCTGCAAGCTATTCTTTTAGCGGCCGGGCAGGAACGTCTTCTAAGGCTGCACATCCAACAAGAAGTCGTGATCTATGTCTGATATCTACACAAGGTCGGGTTGAGTAGGAAGTTCACCACTGTAAAATGGACTGGAATTTGACTCGTGGATCTCAAGTGGAAGAATGCGTGATGTATGTGGCCAGGTCTGGTTTCTGCCTCCCTTCTTGACAAACGTCTTCGACCAAGTGGTAAGGGATTAAGATTGGCGTTTGCAATTCAGAGAGCTCCCGGTGACTGATAGGACGAGTTTCAGTGGACGAATATAGGTCAGTCTTTAGAGACAAACCCGTTCAGACAAAGCTTCAAAATGTTGAACTTATCGCGGCCGCCAGTCCTGATCGACTGCCGTAGCAGATACACTCCCCAACGTATGTATACATGTATATCATCAAATTCTCTTAAATCCCTATGGTCAATTCAGACCGATACATAGATTGATTTCCGAGAACCCTTCTATTCAGGCGTAAATGCCAGATATGGTAAGATGAGGTACCACCAACTGCCGAGCCTGTCAGACCTAAGGATGAGGTGCATACAAGATCCGATTTGTAGGCCAATTGATTCTCGCAGATGACCGTATGGCAACATCTGCACATACTCTGGAAATGCAGTCTGAACCTCGATGCCATTTTTGAGGTCGGCTCTCCGCCCCGTATCAAGACGACAGCACACATTGCTTTTCTCAAGCCATTTTCCAATAATTACAAGTTTTCTCGAGCATGGGTGCAAGCAAACTTTCCAACAGACTGGTCCAGTCATAGGGCGAGGGATATCATATCTCGCCGCTCCAGTGGAGAGAGGGAGATTTGCCAAGTGGTTTAATGTGAGAACCAACAGGACCAACGAACGCTGCCATCCGTTGCTCCATCATTTCCGCTCCCCGCTCTCCTTTCCCCTTTGACAAGTGATTCTTGTCTTGTAGCCTTTGGAGAAACATGATTTTTCCCGTCTTCTTCATACTTTACATTCTACAATTCTTATGTACGTCATCATCAGCAAAGCATACTTTGACGGATCATCATCTCATTCACCCTTCAGAATGGGCCCAGATATAGCCAGGAGCCCTCTGTTCATTGGTTCGTTCTACAATCACTGGGATCGGCATCCTACCTGGACTCTTCTGGCTACCTTGTTTGTTATCTTTGTGCTGTTCCGAGTCTATGAGACGGCGAGACAGTACCGGCGACTGCGGCACTTTAAAGGTCCTCCTCTGGCAGCTGTATCCAAGTCGTGGCTCCTCAAGACCGTGACGGGATCTCGGGGTCATCTCGAGTTCTACAACGTGACAAAGAAATATGGTGAGTGACTTTGTCTCTGTTTTGCCACTATGGTGCTCGAGTGCTCGCCGAGTCGTACAATGTGGGGGAAGATTCGCTTTCTAGACAGATAATGGTCTACTTGAAGGTTTTCCAGACCGCAGGCGCACATGAACTTGAGGCTGATAGAAGCTCAACTTGTAAAGGATCCCTTGCGCGCATCGGCCCCAATGACCTCCTCAACGACGACCCTGGCCTCATGAGGCGCATGCTCGGCGCGCGGAGCGAGTACCGGCGCTCAGACTGGTACGACGGCATGCGCTTCAACCCGTCGAGGGACAACGTCCTCTCCTGCAGAGACGAGGATGAACACACCAAGCTTCGATCAAAGATGGCCGCGGGCGTGAGTTATGTCAGGGGAAACCCCCCCCCCCCCCCCATCGAATCAGTAATTGACGAAGATGGCTCTCCTTAGTACTCTGGCCGCGAGGTCCAGGCCTTTGAGCAAAAGATTGACGACAACCTCGTCCGGCTGATCAGACTCATTGAACGCTACGTCGACGGGAGGGAACCATTCGATTTTGGGAGAAAGGCGCAGTTCTTCACGCTGGACGTCATTTCGGATCTCGCGTTTGGGGAGCCGTTTGGGTTCGTGGCGTCTGATTCGGATATGTACGAGTACATCAAGACGACGGAGGAGAATTTGCCCGTGTTTATGGGCATGACTGTTGTACCCTGGGTTATTAGATTGTTCCGGTATCCTTTTCTTAGGTCGATGTTGCCTACGGCGAAGGACCCGCTGGGTTTTGGTAAGGTGATGGGGTGAGACAGATCCGATGTTTCTTATCCTGATTTGATATTGAGCATTGCATAATTCCCGCTGACATTCCCGCATATAGAATAGCCAAAAGGTTCTCCGCCGAGCGATTTGGTCCTGATGCGAAAGTCGAGAGGGATATGCTGGGTTCCTTCGTCGCCCATGGCCTCACGCAAGAGGAAGCTGAATCCGAGATCCTGCTCCAGATGTAAGTTGTCTACCCACCTTTTCTCTTTTCAGTCAGGGAATATGATTAGGGGAGAAGGATGGGCAAGAAAAAAAAAGACTGACGCATCTCTTACAAAAGTATCGCCGGTTCCGACACAACAGCAACGGCAATCCGCGCCACGCTCCTCTATATCATCACGAACCCCCGCGTCCACAATAAACTCCTCGCAGAGATCCTCTCTAAATACAACACCACTGCTCGCCGTCCCATCATATCCGACGCCGAAGCCCGCAACTTACCCTACCTCCAAGCCGTCATCAAAGAAGGGCTGCGCATCTTCCCGCCCGTGGCGGGTCTGATGGCAAAGCAGGCGCCGCCAGAGGGCGACACGTGGAATGGCGTCTTCATCCCCGGCGGCACGCGCGTCGGGTGGTCTTCATGGGCCATGTTCCGCCGGCCAGACGTCTTTGGCGACGACGCGGACGAGTTTAGGCCGGAGAGGTGGCTTGCCGGTCAGGGTGAAGATGCAAAAGAAGAAGACGGGACGGCAGGCGCAGCAGAGAAAAAACTGCGCGAGATGGAGGCTACGATTGAGTTGATTTTCAGTTATGGGCGGTATCAGTGTCTTGGGAGACCGGTTGCGTTGATGGAGTTGAATAAAGTGTTCTTCGAGGTACGTGTTGCTGTGGCGAATTCTCTTTCTCCTGCTCTACTCTCCTGCGCCATCCCAGCACGTTGGAAGGGGACCGGAAGGCCTGATTTTCGAGACAAATGCTGACAAGGGTGTTCTCTCAGCTGCTTCGACGACTGGAGCTCACCATCTGCGATCCGTTGGATCCTTGGAAGACTTTCAACTGCGGTATCCACGCACAGTCTGAGTATTGGATCCGGGCCCAGCGGAGAAGGTAGATTATGGAATCTCACTGTTAATTTTCAGCTCTGGACTTAGCTGTGCAGGACAGTAGGCCTGATACTTTCTGAAGTACGTTGTAAATTGTCTAGTGTGCCTAAGGTCGTTCTTGGAGGTTAGCCTATTTGCTTGCGGCCTGGAACCAACAGTAATATATGCTGTAGATTGTCCTGCTATATGACAGCTGAACTCCTAGCAAGCCATATGACAGTTTGCGCCTCTATATATACGTTATGTTGCGCGAACCTCAAAGCATTATGAAATGAGAGTAAAACAATTACGAAACCAGGGAGGAAGACGTATGTTGCAATCTATTATGCCTCGCTGAAGCACCTCGCTCATGGCACCTTCTCTCAGCCCTCGAAATGCCACCTTAACTTCATAACAAAGATTCTTCTACAAAATGGATCCGAAATCAATATCATTGTCTTGAAATTTCTACTCGAGATTCTCAATAAGAAAACACCGCGAATTATCAAGTCCTGAAGAAAAGAGAGGTTAAAAGTATAACACCCAATTGGCTGACTCACCTCGGTGAGCAACCCCACAAAGCACTCCCATTGGCTTCTCTTATCCCCCTTTAACCCCGCATACTCCACGTTAGCTTGGGAACCGCTAGGTGCCCCCGTCGCGTTTGTGCCTCGGCATCTCGAACATATCTCCCGGTCGTTTCGCAGATTTCCCGCCATTCTCTTTCATCGTCATCGACCGTTTGAGTCCTCAAAACTTCATCCACTGCCCAATTTCATCTCATCTCATCTCATCTCATCTCAGTTTAGTGCTTTTCACCGATAATCAACAGAAGCTCGCTCATCTCTCATCGCATTCGCACCTCATCTCACTTCGTCTCATTCTCGATCGCTTTAGGCGTAACACCCCAAACCGAACATAATGGCTTCATCCGACGAGGACAAGAAGATTGTGCTGTACCACTACTCCGCCTCGCCCTACGCGAAGCGGATCGTGTGGTACCTAGCTCTCAGAGGCATCCCCTATGTCCAGTGTGTAAGTCGACAATTCTCACACCTCCATCTTCACCACGATTCGTTTTCCGAGGTCCTATTCACCTACAAAAAACTAACAAACCGCTCCAGATGCAACCACCAGTCCTCCCCCGCCCAGACGTATCAAAACTAGGCCTCAACTACCGCCGCATCCCCATCCTCGCCATCGGCCGCGACGTCTACCTCGACACGCGCCTCATGCTCCGCAAGCTGGAACAACTCTACCCTTCACGGCCCCGCCTCGGCGCCACCACCCCCGAACACGCAGCCGTAGAACGCCTCCTCGAAGCCCTCATCATCGACTCGGTCTTCTCCAACGCAATCAACGTCCTGCCCACGAACCTACCCATGCTCAAGGACCCCAAACGCACCTGGTTCAAGGACCGCGAGGACTTTGTCGGCGGCAAGCTCTCCGCCGAGACGATAGAGCGCGGACGGCCCAACGCCGTCAACGAGATCCGCCGCACCGTGGCGCTCCTCGAGACGACGCTGCTCGCCGACGGGCGGGACTGGGTTTCCGGCACGGGGAGCCCTTCGCTGGCGGATATCGAGGCCGTGTGGCTGCCGCATTGGTTAGCTTCTCTCCCTGGCGCGCTGCCGGCGGAGCACGTTTCCAAAGAGCAGTTTCCCAAAGTCTTTGCCTGGATCGAGCGCTTCCAGAAGACGACCTCGGACGCTAGAAAGGCAGCTGGGAAGGTGGCGACGGTGTCGGGCGACGAGGCGGCGGAGATCGTCGTCTCGTCGTCGTATCACGAATCAACTACGGGAGGAGTCGACGCCAAAGACTTGCTGGTGATGGCGCAGGATCTCAAGGCGGGCGACGAGGTGATCGTCTGGCCCGCCGACACGGGCGCCTCGCACAAGGACACGGGGAAGCTCGTCGGCCTCGACGGGGATGAGGTCGTCTTCGAGGTCACCGGGCCCAAGGGTACCTCTGTGAGGGTTCACGCGCCGAGGCATGGGTTCCGGGTGGAGAAGCTGGAGAGGTATAACGCGCGCACCGGGGCGGCCGCGAAGCTGTGATTTCTTTTCTCTCTTTTCCCCCGCGAGCGACCACGGCCCGAAGTTGTTTTTTGCAACCTTCGTCATTCGCCGGGTGCCGTTGCCGGAAGAGGGACTGGGTATGTTGCTCCGGCCAAAGACCTACTCATTCCCGAGTGTCTTTACAAACCGGAGCGAGCCTTTGGGGGGGGGAAGACTCAGAAAAACGTTCTATCAGAGCTCGGCGTGACACCATGCGGCGCAGTTGGGGAAAACGTGAAACAAAAGCCCGCGCTACATCACTGATAGACTACCCATCGAGAATCTGGAGCTTCATCAGACTTTGTTAAAGAGGGGAGGAATGTGATCAACATGCAGCTCCGAAACATATCAGGGCGCCGCGGCTAGCGACTAGCTGAGATGTTCTGCAATTTAAACATGCTGAAATAAGCCACAAATGATGACCGTCCACACGACTTTCCCATCGTCCCGGCGTACCGAGAAGCTGTTTTCGGCTTCGAGATGTCAGACCGCGTGTTACGCGAATACATGGGCCGGAAAGGGCAAGCTGAGTTTCATCCCAGCATGCACTGGCTTCCACAACTGAGGTTGCCGAATGTTTTGTTGTCACTGCTCAAGAAATGGAAATGGGATAATTTGCAACGGCTGAAGATCGAGTGGCAATCTCGATAAGCTAAAGATGAGTTCCAAAGTAGGCTTGGCGGAAGGATGAAGACTGCTACCAACAAGCCGCGGGACGTAGGCTTCCACGTCCGGCTGCTACGCATGCCGATATAGATTTTGATGCAATACCCGGGATTCTTTGGACGTACCAGCCTATCATAGTGGATCGTATATGTGCCGGTATGGCTCTTTGTTTGACATCCCATCCATCCTATGGTCTTGCTCGATCTATTCGGAAGAAGGGATATTTGGACTTGTATTTGCGTGATGTGAAGCGAAGAAGATATGGGCACCTAGTGGAACAAACATAATTCAAATGTTGATAATCAGTATTCGGAAAGTTACCTTGTCGATCCGGCAAAGAGGCGCACAACCCGTCAGCTGAGTCTATGTCGAAGGTTCCATCATAGACAAGCGCGCTGGCGCGTCGAAAATTCGAAGCCCCAGATTATCGGACGAGATCCTCCGCCAGGGACCCGGAGGGGAGTTGAAAGGCACTTGTGGCGCCGACCCGGTGGAATGGGGCAGCGGACGCCGCCGGACGGAGAACATTGGGCCTAGACAGCACGATAGGTCTAAGCTGACCCTGCTACGGCCAAGCGTGATGTTTCTCGTCCGAGGCACGACGTGGGTTTGTGGTTCTGGACCCGAATTCCCCATGCGACGTTGTGGTCGTTCGCACTTCGCTAGAGGGAAATCGAGCATGCAGCAGTCAGATCGATATCGAGATTGATGCCGAGCCTGGGTTAAGACTGGGCGTCCATCAAACGTGCCGTCTCATCCATCCTCTAGACGGATTTCTGCCGTCATCGCTCCGTCAATGTATTCTGGGGAAAGCTTTAGATCTGGTTATTCCAGCATGAGCTCCGTCGAGATACCAGGGCCAAGCTGGGTACCATAATGCGTCCAAGGCTCAAAGGGGTCGGTCGAGTGGACAGGCCCCGTGTACAGTGTGACGCGACGCGCTCGCGAAAGTGCAAAGTTTGAGCACAGTGCGATGTCAACATGGTGCGAAAGGAGGAGCAAAGGCATGCAGGATGCAAGGATGTTCTCCGGGTCTAGTGCGTCATACGACGGTAGCCGACGGGACAAGTCAATCTGCTCCGGGAATACGTACCGTTTGCTGACTTGAGACTCCCCGTTCGCTGGTCGGATGCTTCCATTCTCATTCACCTCGGCGTCCAGCGCGAGAACGTAGCAACATCCCCCATCCAAGCAAACCACGCGTGAAGAAGACGGGAGCAAGCGGTCCTCGCGGAGCAATCCAGTGGGTCGCCGGAAATCAGAGAATTTTTTTTTGGAAATTCCATCATTGTCGCAAATTACAGACCCTTCCTTATCAGAATCGCAACCTTCACCGTCGATGAGGACAGTTCTTGACACAAACTCGTCGTGCAGATGACTCTGAACAAGTCAAGAGACCGTTTCAATTTGGTCTTGATCACTGTTCGGACCTCGAGCAACCATGGCAAGGTACCACACCTTTGAGGATCGCATCGCCGACCGTGCCGGGGCGACCATGAGTGGGCAAGCAACGTTGGGCTCGTTTGCTTGGCTTTGTTGGCTCAGATTTTCTATTCGTCAGCATCTTACTAGACATAGTTACGTCATGACCAGTGACGCCACCAATGCAATACAAGAACTGAAAAGTATCGAGACAGTGCGGACCCAATTGCAGAGCCGATATTGGCCAAAGCTGTGACCATCGAGCGCACTTGGTGCCGTTTTCAAGAACTTTGCCAATCTTCCGTCTCAAGCTAAAAACAGGTCAACCCTATGAATAAGGCCGTGACGTAATGTTTGGAAGCAGACAGACAGACTCGCTTGCCAAAACGGAGAGGTATCAGCTAGTTTGTTAGCAACAAGAAGCATGAGTCCTTGCCGTCGACGGGTTATGGAAACTGGGAGGATGCAGAGTATTCCAACAGTTCAAGTGGTTTTTCCGTGTCTGGCTACCCGAAGCCTAAAGGGTATCGCTACGGAGCAAGATAGATGTGCCCCGTCTGGCGCGATTGTTGTGACGCAATTTGTTGTACGGTTACTCTGCAGTTGAGTGTGAGAGAGCGGGGACTGGCTACAAGGGCCTCCCTGACCAAGCTGCAGCTCCTTGGGACACCCTATTGGATATTGAAGACAGTAATTTGCCACTTCGGGTTTCCCAGTCGCGTCAAGAACCGACCGTCGATGTTGCTAGTCCTGCGGCTCCTGGCTCATTCTCACCGGCAGATTTGGTCCAGGAACTTCAGGTAGCTGCAGCTTAGAAATTCATGGCTGACAGCCGCTGTGCAAGGGCAAGCAAGTGCGACGACTTGTGTTGATGGTTTGATACAATCGTGGTCGGTACGTAGACAAGTGTAGGTACTAGGTAGGTGCCTGTGACTGTACAGTGGCTATACGGTTCAGGTAGCGTAGACCGGCGGGATCGTGATGGGGATGAAAACTCTTGCTCGAAAAGGAAATGAGCATGTCGATCTCTTCACCGTAACGATTTACCTGTGGCCAGATTCCTCCGGGAGGCCAGCAGCCGCACGCTTTAGACATCTAGCAGGGAACAGGTGGCAGGTGGTCCGATGGCGTTGACTGTTCTAGACTCTCGCGAAAGGTGAGATGCAGGGCAGGGCGATGCGAAAGGCCGGGTCGAGGCCATCGTTGACCTGTTTTCTTGTGGACGAGGATAAATAGCAGTATCCGTAGAGAAGAGGGTGGCTCGGTGGGCGATTATGAAGGAATGGGAGGTGGATGTTCTGCCGACTCGTGAAGTCAGTACGTCAGTTGCGCAAGCTCCACCTGGAGCGGCGCTTGAAAGTCGAGGCAAGGCCCAACCAAAGGGAAGAAAAAGAACAAAAAGAAGAGGGACAGGATGCCATGGCCCTCGAATGCGACAGGAAGGAAAAGTGATGCAATCAATGCAGGGGTCGGAAGACTTGGGGGAGGGGACCACCTAATGGAGACGTGCAGCCACAGTAGAAAACGTTGGCTGCAGATACTGGCTGGGTGGTGCCAGGTGCGTTACGATAGTGAGGGGGGAATACTTGGGCCACCCCCCGGACTTGCATTTTCAACCAACCGGCAACTCTCACTGTATGGTAGCTGGAGCCTGATTGGTCAGCTCACGTACAGTGTGTGCAAATACGCCGCCCGTGTTGGCGACGACCGCCTGATTTTCCACCTATACCGTATAGTGCGGATAACCTATCAGGCTGACGGAGGACGGGACGGTGATAGCAGCGTGGAAGAGAAACATTTACGTGCCGAGCGTGGGAGGGAAAACTCAGCATACTCTACTAAGCTCTACCTCACGGCAGTCTGAAGACCTCAACAGCGAGCCAAGACATGATGGTGGTGTTGGCTGTGGTCCGAGGCATTGCAACAGCCGTCTCTACATCTTCCTTTAGCTGATAAATCAAGATAAGGCGAAGACGAAAGAGACAGAGTGACCACTCAAAGGCAAAGATGTGTCCATAGATGGAGAATGCGAACGAGATGGTGCGCGGCTTCGGCAGGCTCGTCTGCCGTCATTCGCCTGAGGCGATAAGATGGGATGGAGTCTGATGTACGGAATAAAGGTACACATGTTGAGTCGCTCTACACTCCCGTCACAGTGCCCTACCGAGACTACCTAAGGCGCCTTAGGATCTGTGGTCGAACCCCTAGCATGTACAGATAGTTGGGCAACTAAGCCATTCAGACGCTCGAGATAGCTTGCGAAATGCGAGAAGGGGGACTCGATCGAGGACGAAGTGATGACCAAGTCCTCATGTCGGTTGCAATCGAGGCAGCATTCGTTTCCACCGTTCCTGCCTTCCTTCTCTCGCGCCATTGTTGAATGCGCGCTACGTACCTGTCCTTCCGCAGAGGTACCTGGAAAAGGTACTTAGTTAGGTTGCTGAACTGAGGTGGAATGCCAGACAGGTGTGGTGGGACCATTCCCCATTGGTAAGCCGTTCTTGGACGTCGGGGCATTCGGCGCACAGTGCGACAAATCATTCTCCACAAAAGCCCCAGCGTTTCTCGCAGAACGGGGAAGGGGGAAGAGAGAGAGGAAAAAAAGGTCAGGAGCAACGGATAGCGAAAGGAGAGGAAGGAAGCGCGCAAGAGGAAAAGAGACAGGAAGCCTGAGAGACTGAACGGGGGACCGGGGGGTCGTTGTTGGAAGGGGTGGGCACTGGACGTGGATGGGGACATGGACATGGACGTGGGCGTTTTGGTGTCAGAGTGTGCGCCGCCGCCCACCCATTTTCTTTTCTTTCGTGCGCCCTCGCTCTTTTTTTTTTAAAATCGACCACCGCGCAACGTCATACTTGACCTGTGACGTCTGCCGTTTTTCTCCCCCGACATCTCACTCTCACAACGATACT